TTGGCGGGAAAATGGCCTCGGAAAACCAGCGCCTAACCCAAAATATTTGAAATTTGATTTTTGAATTTTCAAAAACCGGGCGTCCAAAGCGGGAGAATCTTCTCGAAATCGGGTACAGAGCCGCCGATTTAATGTGCCGTTTCGTCTCCCCGAGAGGTTATGATGGCAAATCATTTCAGCTGCCACGTGCCATTTCTTTATTCGCCCGTCTGGGCGGCATCTCTCCTATATAAAGCGTCGTTCTCCTTGGAATTTCTTCACTTGCAAATCTTCGATTCAAAAAACTGCCCGGCTTCTTCTGCTATTTTCGAGTCCTCCGAGTCTTCTAACCGTCTCCAAGTAAGTCTCTTTTTCCTTCCCTTTCTGAGTCATGTCTGACCGTGAGGATAGCCAGAACCCCTCCGTTCACTCCTATGGTTCTGGTGGCCGGTCCCCAACCTTCGGTTCCTCTTCTTCTTCCTCCTCCGACTCTGAGCACCCGGCTACTTCTCCACAGAAGAAGCCGGTTGATGCTTCCACTTGCGCTCCTTCTTCTTCCGTGGCGCAAGTGGCCTCGGTTGCCCAGTCCGAGGACGAGGGCTTCATTCAGCTAGACGACCGGTTGCTCCAAGAGCAACCGTCGTACATGCAGAAGCCCCAAGTCCACGAACTGCGCAATCTGATGCCTGATGGGTATCAATTGACCTACCGGGCAACGTGGAAGAGCATTATTCCTCTCCACGTCGGTACATCGATTGGTATCCACTGCCATTCGATCAAGGACTTGGGTGAATTCTCTATTCACCCATTCAAAGTCCTTTTCCTTGAGACATACGGTATCATGCCCGGGCAGTTGGCCCCTAATGGTCACCGTCTGTTGGGCAGTTTTATCAATGGGTGAATATTTTGGGTGAATTGTTCCACCCCGGTGGACGCCCGGTTTTTGAAAATTCAAAAATCAAATTTCAAATTTCAAATATTTTGGGTTAGGCGCTGGTTTTCCGAGGCCATTTTCCCGCCAAAAAGCGACTGGGCAGTTCAAATTTCAAGAGACCACCGCATGTGCTTCCCGCTCCTGATGGTCCCCACAGGACCGGGAATCGGAGGACTCCTTGATAGGTAATAACCCATGGGTACCACCCGGTTGGTTCGCCTGACTGGGTGGTGACAGAAGATGGCAGAGCGCAAGCTTCGCAGACCGGGTCGTAAGACCGGTTGGCTGGAAGGGTTTAGCGCACAACAACTGCAGATATATCCACGGAGTACTCTTATGTAACCGGTCAGTCAAATACCCGGTTGGATAACTAGAGACGTGCTTGACATGCTTAATCTTGTTATAAATACCCCTAAAACCCTCATTTGTGAGGTACGTTTTAATTAATCTACACGGCTCGTACTTTGTAATAGTCCTAATATTATCAATAACAAACCGGGTTACAGGTGTTCCCACCTACATCCCTTCCGATTATTTTTACTTTGTGTTTGCGTGGTAATTTACACC